AATAATAATAATACTGACTATAACAACGAATTGGCATTATGGTAAAATATAATAACATTCCAGCGAACATTTCGCAACTGATTAGTAGTTACATTAGTAGTTACAGAATCGAATGATCACAATGAATGATAAGCAGCTTGCCAAATCAAAAACATACAGATGATAACACTTTAGCAAAAAATTGCAATGACAAGATCAAGAGATATTACGAAATCATCATCCAGAAACCCTAACGGCACCGACTCAAAATGCATTAGCACCTGGAAAAAGCATCTGTAATCAGGATGAGGACTTGTCGACCTGTGATGTTCTCGCTATTTTATCCGGGGGAAAATCAGTTCCGTGAACCAAATTGGATTTTGTACAAGTATTTTTTAATTAACCTGTTAACAATATCTGTGGATGCTCTCAATGAATGCTGCATTTTCCTGAGGAAATGCAAAATATCCTTATATTTTACCTCGTCACTTCCAAAAAAATTAAATGTCAGTAAGGTTACCAGATTCTGACTCTGCGATATCAGCCTTTTTTATAGCTCTGCTTTTCTCACTCCCATTCTTTAACATCTCAGATAGCTAAATACAAGAACGCCTCAAGGTACAAATCGCAAAAGAAACAAGTGTGAATTTTGTCGGGAAATTACACCGCATAATTTTGGTGGCCTAATCTTTAAAAAAATACCGAAGTCCTATTTTCAAAATATCACGCACAGACCAGTAACCTGAGGTATCTTACAACATTTTAAAAAGCATCTTTGTTCAAGCGTGGAATACAGTTCTTTTTTGACTCAGTTTTTGATAACATATTATCGCTATCGTTTCCATCTTAACGAATACCAGCAGTATCAGAACCATTATTATTATCATCATCATTATCGGTATTTGGGCAGTGTGTACACTGATGACTAGAAGCAGAGATATACAACTGGTTAAGCATACTACAACAGAACTGCAAGAGGGAGGAGGGAGAAAAGAAACTGAGTCACAACATGAATGCGCCAAAAAATTATGTCTGGTTCATTTCGGTTACAAAGCCCTTGTGACATTTGCGCAAAATGCTCATTTTAAACCTATGTTTCTTGCAATCGCTATAAAAAGCATATCTTACAGGAAGACCATGAGTTATTTAGTCACTTTCCCTTTGCACTGGATGGCGTATGCGTTTTTGGCGCATGTCCTTCTAAAACAGAGAGTGTATCAAGCTCTTCGGGAAAAAGACTAAATAAAATCTCCAAGTTATACAATAATTTTAATTAGACACAATAATCAAATTAACTTAAGTTGAGTGAACTGAGAATTTCGAACTAACTGTTCACAAGCAGCGCTTCAACAACATAGCAGCTAATCATAGAAGAAATTACAGCACGAGATCTCTGCATATCGCTCGAAACTTAAGCAGTTGGTGCGAAGCGAATGCGAAGTTTTCAAAGGCATCATGCTCTCTTTTTTGTAAAGAGAAAGCGTCGTTAAGACATCTTTTGCTATATTTTTCTTTCGAATCTGATTAAAATTATTCAAGTTTTCATCCAGTAAACCAGGATAAAGGGATTTTCCCGATATACATGAGAGAATGAGAACCGAAAATCCAAATTCTTGCGAAGATTCGCAGAGTCTAAACATTTCCAACGATTTTTTATGAAAGCGAAATGCTACCTTTGTTGTGTGGGTTACACTATAATGCTTCTCACACGAAAAATCGCTCACATTTCAGGATAAAGAAGAAAAAACAAATACGAAAGAACAACCTAAGAAAGCGCCAATCAACAAACGTACAAATTAGACAATTTTTAAAGAAAGGGCAATGATTACCCAAATTTATTCGACAATGCAGATGTTGGGCAATTCGAATTTTTCTGATTTTTGGCTTGAATAAATACGGACTGGGATTTGAAAGAAACAGCAACAGCTCCGAAGAACAGTTCCAACTTGCGAGATTACTTAGTACTCTGCTTTATACATGAAAGAGGTACCGACTTCTTGTTTATATATCAGTTTTCCCTACTATCTTAGATATCCCAAACGTTTTAGCCTATACCAATTAGTATTTCAGCCAGAAGCGGTCACATGCTGGGAAAACTGCTGATAAGTGGTCGTGTATTTTGGGCCACTAGAACTTCACCTAAGCTGCAAGAAGTCTAACTTAAAATGAAAAGCAAAAGTAGTACTCATATGTTACGATTGCAGAGAATCACCCTAAAACAATCTTTATAGGCTTTCCTGCTATGAAACCAAAACCGCCCAAGAGTATGGAGGATCGATGTTTATTTCGATAGTTAGCTGTAGATTAATGTTAAGCCTTGCAGTTTTAAAATTCTGAAATTATGAGCAAAAGTAAGCAATAAAACGAGTCATCGTCCATAAGTAAAATCACGATGTTCTTTCCAGTAAAAGAAACAAACAAAAAGCGCATATAAAGAGTAGAGCTGTTGCAGCAGCAGAAATATACGGAACTCAGCAAATTTCCACGTTTTCAAGGGAAAGGATAAGTAGCCATTGCACTGATGGAAATAAAAATTCCCGTATGGTTCTGCAGCACGTCTTGTGCTCGCGCAACAGCGCAACGCTTTGTTATAAGTAGCAGAAATCCAAGGAAAGAAAAACTGGTACAAACAATGCAAAAAATGATCAGAAAGCTGAGAACATCTTCGATGGGTGTCCGGTCAGCTGCTCAACAACAGTACGAAATAGCCAGTTCAATTCCCGATCCCTCGCCTGAGCTCTTCAGCACGCTCATGTAAAGGCTCACTCGCAAGAAAATGTTGTTAGAAGACTTAGCCGATACTGTCCAAAGAATTGTTTAATATCTGCACTCTGTACAACATATGAGCCAAAAAAGTGCTTAATGTATAGTACAAAGCTCATCAATACGTAGCGGAACTAGGACATTTGTATAGTATATGCATAGGGAATTCTCTGTGTTTTCAAGCCAAATCAATATTTCCATCTTCTTCCAAATCCATTACACAAATATGGCTAGTTTTTATGAACATATGTTCTGAAGCTACAAATGCCCGAATAGGCAGGGAACTCAGGTAATGAACCAGCTTTGATTTACCACTGCGCTTACATTAACTGAACTCCTCGTGATTTGCTATTTGGTACGTTTTTGAGCGTCTAACACTACACATCAGTTCATCACTGCGCAAACGTGGCAGTGCGCCAAGAAATGGAGCATTTGCGGTGGGAACTGTGTGCGCTGGCTGCACTAGTAGAGACCACAACCCCTTAAGTTATTGGCAATGATGACATCGGTGACTGCATCGAAGACGAACTGGATATTGGTGGTGTCCGTGGCGCACGTCATATGGCAATAGATCTCCTTGTTCGCCGATTTATTCTTCGCTTCAAACTGAGCTTGAATATACGCACTCGCTTCGTGGTAATCCTGTCGACCTGAAACAAGCGCTACTGATCACTTGCTCCACGTACACACAAATGACTTCATTCCTCTTTCTTCTAAAGAAGTGTGAAATAAATTAAAGAAAACAGTGATTGAAAAAGATTAAGCTACCACCGGAAAAAAGCAGGAATATACTGCTGCGGTCGGAACGGCACGAAAAATGGAGCCACTAGACGATCTGCCCGTATAAGGCAGAATATGTCGCACAGCCGTCGTCGCCATTCCGCAACCATCGTCGCCGGGACCCATACTTGCATTTTTATGCGATTTTTGCATCTGCGCAACGCAAAAAGGCGTATTTTCGAGGAGGATGTCTGTGTATGTGTGTTTCTGTGTCTATGTCTGCGCGCATGCGTGTCTGTGTGTACATCTGTACCGAGTTTTCATCTCAAGATTCACAAAAACTACAAGGCTGAAACTGCGGCAACTTAACCTACACATACGGGCTTCTGTCCTCAAAATGGACACTCACGTCCACATGGTTATCACGTACGGGCAAGTGGAAGTTTTTTTGGCGAGGAAGCGTTTTCTGGAATGGAGCAAGCTAGAAGGCTTGAACTTCAGAGGAATGTTCTCTGGCCACGTCTAATTGAAAGATTTAAAATTCAGCCTTCACGCACCCCTAGATCTCACATCCGCACACGTCAAAGTTCAAACTGGCATCATGCCAACTCCAGATTTAAGATGACCAAAAAGTTGTAAAGAGCTATAATTTTGCAGCGTTACTTGCTGTCCCCTACTATGCCCGTGAAAGTAAACTGAACTTTCCAGCTCTTCTCCATCCCATGCACGGACGCGTGAAATTTTAACGTAGACGGTTTTGTAACTTTGTAACTGAAATGACTGGAGACGGCCGGGTTCGACCGCGTAGACGTAAAAATGACTTTCACGCCCTTTTCATGTCTCACGTACGTCTCACGTACACACGCGCGAAATTTGACGCAATTCCGTGACCAAAACAGCTAGAGCGATAAAATTTTCTGGGCATGGTTCAGGGCTGTGTCTAAGCAAGCACACGCGAAAACAGCAAACACGTGCGTAACTCCGCAAATAGAGCAGTCGGAATGCTGGATTTTTTTTTGAGCCTGGTCCAGGACCGTGTCTAGGCAAATGCATGTGGAAACGATGCTCACGTTTTCCCTCAAGTACGAATACGTGAAATTTAACGCAACTCCACAACCGAATCATCTAGAGTGCTGAATTTTTTGAGCATGAGTTGGGAGTCACTGTAATAATTATTAACAGTCTTCATGGCTATTCTCAAATCTCTTAGCTAGAAGCTCCTGCCGGAGAAAACAATACCACTAGCAATAAAAATCTGCTGGGGAATTGTGCAAAAAACGCATTTTCACACAGGCAGCTGGTGCGCTGTCGAATAAGTTTTGTTTCGGGTATCTTGTGTGCTGAGACTTTAAATGCTATTTATTGGTTCATTTTGCCTGCCTGAATAATTCTTTGTTTGTTACTGAGCCCAACAGTACCGTAACGAGCAAACAATAATTAGAGAAAGGGTTTTTGCTCACTACGTTGCACACGTCCGCGCTCAACGGAAAACACCGGGACAGTTGAACCTTGTCCTCACAGTGTCAAATCAAAAGTTAAACCCCCACTCTCTCGTAGTACTTGCTTCCTGAAAAAAGCAGAGGTAATCGAAGGTAGCCCAGCTGTGCACTAGCTTACGTTCCCATAGCAACCCACCAACAGGCAAGGTTATCAATGGACTCTCTTCAATAAAAAGACAGTGAATGAAAAACAAAATGATTTCAAAGCTTTTCCAGCACGCAGCTTTTTGGAAAAAG